AATTCATTGATATTTGAGGCAGAGGGGTGTACGATAGACTTACCTCCACGTGGTGCACCCTGGGCAACGTATATTCATACGTCAAAAAGTCTATTAACTGGCAGTTGACCTCTGGCTTCTAACTACCATCACCCCACTGTATGTCATATTCGACTACTTCCACAGTACTCACCTCACCTTTTTTTCTACCTTTGTGTCTGTCTCTTTTACATCTTTGAAACACTCTTCTGTCCCCCCTACTCTCGAATTTTTTTCACTTTGATATTTCTTCTCCTCTCTGAGGCCTGAAGTCACCTAAAGGGCTAATGAAACTATCAAAATGCCTGCCATTTGATATAAATAAACAAATAAATATTTGATTACCACTATTAATTAAAGGAATTTGAAAAGATATCGTGAACGTCATGTTAACAAATTATAAAAACAGCTACAAGTAGAGTGTATATAGTGTCAATACGTGTTGTCAAGATCGAAATTTTTGAGGGTGAAAGTAGTCAAATCTCATATAGAGGAAAATCAGATAAAGCTTTTCTCCTAATTATTCAAGACTGGTTGATTTGCCCGATCAGATCAAGTCAGATTTATATGTGTATTTTAAAGCATGTCTTTATAATTGTTATTGGGTATGGTTGGGTTGCGGCTTAAGGGAGACGCTTGAAGGAATTATTGGAATTCATTGTAGAAATGTGGCAAAATTTTGTTCAGTCAGATAAAACATTAATGGAAATAAATGAAGATTACCTTCATCATGCTATGGCCTGTCAAAAGTGTCATGTAGGTGGTGTAAAATTGTTATTGGGCTTGTGTTTCCAGGTAAGGCGTGATTTCGATTTCCCAGCAAGAATCGCTTCGTTGTATCATTTTATCGGTTAGAAAAAGTCAATGGATCATTTCTCTTTTATAAGCCACTTTTATTTCATTAAAATTTTGCTTCATCGAGATCCATTAATTAAATATATAATTCAACATTTTCTATTACAATGGCTGTCTTGACCCATCCCAATCACTTACAGACGGGCGCCTAGAGATATGGTAGTTTCTGCGATTGCTCCAAATGGTCACCTCCGATTTGTGAGTCGACATGGAGAGTTGTTGGACAAACGACCGGACGACCAGATGACTGATGCATCCAGCCTCGCGATTTCTCTTTGGACTGCAGCATTACTCTGCACTTTTATTGGCGTCCTATGCATCATCGTTCTAGCGGGTGAGATTCGTTTCTAATTGTATTTAACGCTGCACAACCCAAATAGAGTCAATACAGAGTATAGATAAATAGGTGTATATAGATACTTATGTACTTATCAGCATCAAGAAAAGACATCAGAATGGTTTTATTCTGGAAATATTTATCCCCTTGTACTTCCTTCCCTGTTGGTTCCCTATTCCACGACACCGATTTAGCTCCTGTCAGGGCCTAAGTTCAGTGTCATGAAGGAATATTTTTAAAAAGGCCTCTGTAGTTTCGCTTTAGCCCTAATCATTCGACCCGAAAACTATTTTCAGGACAACGATTTCTTAAACTAAGCTGGATTTGCTGATGGTGGCCTGAGTCAAAATCCATGCCGATTCACTATTACCTATAAGAGTGTTTTACCAATAACTGAACGCCTTCTCTATTATCATTCTGACGTTATGTGAATTACATCTGATTCAATGAAACCATTATATTTTCGGAGTTAACTAGCCATTCCACATGAACCCTTGTCACTTTGACTTGGGACGTACGATTGTCGCTCACGTCATGTATTTTAAATTTATATTTAGACGCCCATGAATTTTAGACTAAGTTATCACCCGTTCAGAGCTGCATTTGGACAATTTTGCGTAGTCTACGAAGAGGACGATTCGGTAGAAAAATGTATATTGCCTACAGACTTGGCCATCTCCTTACTTTTCACCTACGAAGCACGATAACAGTATTTACTGCCAAACAACTGGCTTGCCATCCTTAGTGACTGCATGTTTGAAAGTAAAGCAAGCATTTGAGTTTTAAATGGCATACGCTTAGCTATCACAAGCTTTTTGCTTTTCTGTGCTGTGTCTTGAGCTCTAAACTGGCTTTTATCCCAAATGACCTCCCCCTCCCCCTCCCCTTCCTGTTCAAATGCAGCACGCAATACAAACTTTACCTCCCAAATTGACCCACTCAGTTGACATTTCATCTACTTAATAGGATCACATTAGAGGTGACAATTAAGTAGCTCTAAGGTCAAGTTGAAGTGATTCCAAGACTTCGAACAAACTAATTAAGTGTTACCAGGAGCATGAACAATAATTGGAAGTGAAGACCTTAATCAAGCATTAATTTATTCAATTCCGCGACTTTTAGATTGCCATTCTTTTCAATTGAAGCGCTTCAAACTTGAGCTTCAAGGGAGTTACTCTTAGTTCTATGAAAAGTATTTATAAGCACCCGATAACGTTATTGACTTGATAAAGTAGTCATTCAATGGTTTTACTTTAATCAATTTTAATTAATTTTAGATTTAAAGAATTCCTAAATTGTGCTCAAAATTCATTCCTTTTAAGCCAACTGGGAAAATACACAAGAAGACCCAATATAAGAACATTTCGAGCTGAACAAGAAGATGGAACCACTCCCTCATCTTCATACAATTTCATTCTTCATGAAACCCACTGGTCAAGTTCATGAAACCTTTGCTAATTAAAAATCTGTCAAGAAAAAATTTTAAAACTTTCCTGAGATGAGGCCTTCGGCAGTCAATAGCATAAAAGAACCTTTGGATGTCTGAGCAGATTTTATAACTTCAAGAAAATTTTACTATTTTGAGTGAGAAAGAAATGGGGTTAGGAACATCACTATTTAGATAGCTTCCCACCAACTTCTAACATTTTCTAACTCACTAAATATGTTCACTTGTGATTGGTTAAGTTTAAATATCCCCAAAGAAAATGAGACTTCTAAAAGGATTCAAGAAATTTCGGATAATGAAGGTGCCCCTTGAAATTGAATCAAGATGAAGGGTAGGAAGATTTGTGGGCAAATATTTTATTCACATAGGACATAAAAGCATGTAAAGCGCAAACACCAGTCTTTATAAATATATATAAATATATATAAATTGCAGTTGTAATAACACCGAGAATAGGAGCACGCTTGTGGTAACCTAGCCAATTATGCGGGGTGGAATGTCCGCTTGGTAGGCGTCACTCCCATACAACCGCCCCCCCCCCCCCCCCCCCCCACGCACTAACCTCACCAAACCCACCAATCACCTCATTCCCGTTCACTACATCGCACTTGCCTCCAATCACAACTGAAAGGCTGTTGACACGAGACTTAAGAGGTGCGAATAACTATTCTTCTTATTACAATTGTCGAATTACAGAAATAAGAAGAAAAATTGATATTTTAAAGTCGATAAACTTTTATACTTTACCTCTCTCATTAAAAAGAATGTCATTTTTCGTAACCCCTCGATTAGTAGTTGTATGGTGGTTGTTGTAATGATTGACTTCAAGTTAATGACTGGACACTCAGTCGGATTGTGATCTATTCACCGATGGTTTGGCGTCCACTTCTTGGCCCATCGAATTTCAATACAGCCAAACTAGTTCTCCTTCCTACATGCGAAACCAAGCTATGTGTGGCCACTAATTGATGTATATACAATAATCTTCTGAAATGTCCATTTCCAGCAAAGCACACCTCAGAGAGTGGAAAATCTGTTTGAGGTATCAATTTATGACAGTAACATTTCTCTTTAATTAAATATTGCATCCTCAATGCAAAAAAACGACAATTATTCATGTGACTCTCATGACGTAAAGTTTATTTTTCGGGTCACGAATGCCCATTAAAACGATCGAATAGAACCTTAAGAAATCGGCAATCGAAACCGCAAAATGAACTCAAAGAGCACATTGTCCCTAAACTTTGCCCTCATTTCAGACGCATAGATATATTGATAGTATTTCTTGAGACAGAAGAAAAACTGAGTGATTAAAGATTACAAGTATTGAGGCATTTGGTCGGAATGAACGAGATAGCTCAATGGGACTAACTTATTAACGAGGTCTGAGTATAGTGGTTGCGAATAAGGAATGTTCTGCTGAAATTTGAACCAGTATTCATGTATGCACTATGGACATAGGAGGAATAATTGTTTGATGCTTAGACCATTTCGCGGAGAGATCGTTTGCTCAAACTCTCATCTTGGCACAACAATTTGTGGCGTGGTATCAACACCATTCTCAAAGAACACTCTGAGGGAAGTAGAGTAATGCCACAAAATGTGTAAACTCATTTCGGAAGTCAAATTGAGTGAGTAAGTTTGTATGCAACTAAACAACTGAAGAGGTAGCTATTTCATCCATTGGGGTAGAGTTTAAAATAGGCAATTTGCAAGTAGGCAGGTTTCAGAGCTACAAAGTTCAACTGGGAACCCTGACAATGAAGTGGAAATATGGTGCATGAATTGTTATGCTGCCACAAGGAAATTACTAAGGCCATTGTTTTGTGCTGTGTGGCGAAATAAGTCGAACAAATCAATCGGTCATTTTCAGACAATTTCATTCACGCAATATGCAAAGTCACCTGTCAAGGGAGTATCCTTCGGGTTTCGCATCATTGCCATTTACCTCGGGCATTACGTATTCAATGTGCTTACTAATTAACTGTTCAATTACTTTGGCCTTGAAATTTGCCCAATTTGCGCCTTTTCCTATTCTAAGAAGCACAAACCACGGTCAAAGGATTTCGAATAGACTCGACCATAACCAGCCTTCTCAAGATTGATTTTCAATTCAAAGGGCTGATCTAAGTTCAGCTCCCCATCAGTTGCTTCAAGGTTAACATTGATAGAAGTCTCGGGAAGACCGATATTTGAGCAGATCAATTGTAAACGTCCAGTGTCGGAATCGAGTTTGAAGCAAGGCCTAGACACAGTTGTGGAAGCGAGTCTAATTTTCACAGCACTACTTCCATCCCGGTCCAGATCTTCAGCAAAGAATCGACCTAACTCTAGTCCCGATGGTGCAAATGTTTGAATTTGTCCACTTGGAGTAACAACCAGCTGGGCTTCGTAGGATTTCTCAACAAACACCGGGCTAAATTCATTTATGTCGATAATTCTATTAAGATAGATATCCATCATACTACGAGAAAAAGGCCTACCAGAATCGGAGACCTTTACTTTCACGTGAAATTCCATAGGCATGGTTTCAGCATCAAGGGGTGTCTTTAGAATCATTGATCCTGGTTTATTGGTTGAAAAACATAATGGAAGTTTGTCTTCATCAAAAAGAGAGAAACTGAGCCTTGTTGCTGAGAAATCTGGATCACGGGCTTCGATTTGAAGTACCTCACTTCCAACCGGAAGATTTTCCGCAATCGAACATTCAGCTCCATCATTTAATATCGCTGGACTGTGTTCATTATAATCCAATATATTGATCACTAGCTTCGAGTCACCCATACTACTCAATAGAATATTATTTCGATCGACAACGGACATTACGTATTCAATGTGCTTACTAATTAACAGTTCAATTACTTTGGCCACGAAATTTGTCCAATTTTCGCCCTTTCCTCTTCTAAGAAGCACAAACCACAGCCATAAGTTTACACTGGAAAATCACCCATTTATACATGCATATATGCATATAAATTTATTATTTCTTATGCAACGTTATTTATGGCCTCATCGTCATTGGCTGAAATCGCGCCTGTGCGAATGGCCGAAATGTAGTGTCGCGACAATTTTAGTCTCGGTGGCTGTAAGGGGCCAGTCGAAATATTAGTAGATTCAATTATCAGCTCGACAATAGTACAAAATTCAACAGATGTTTCGTCAAAGGATCCACCTCGAAAGTGCTTTCTTTTTGGACTTTAGTCAGTCGTTGAAATATGGCCCGTTTTATTGTTATACATTTCATATTAAGGTCATCTCTTGTGATATTAATTTCGTGTGGTAAGGAGGGTGTGGGGGGGGGGGGGGGGGGGGGGGTGCGGGTGATATATCAGCGCAGTTAGGTTGAGTAATTAGTTTCTCTTAAGAACTTTGAGTTGAGGTTACAACTAAGCAATGCCTGAACTATGAAAGCACTGAGCTGCCATCTTTCACTTATGGAGATGATCTACAGTGAACTAGCTGGTTGGTCAGAAATACAACTCTCACGAGGCATCGCATTGCGACCACAGATCTCTGAAGACTCGCATGTGGTATAGTGCAATGTGCCACCTGCGGACTGACAATGGGCATATCACACGAGCAATTGGAACCCACATCAGCATGTGGAATTAGAGGTAGGGAGTAACTACTAGCCCAAACCCTGCTAATTAACTACCATTATGTACGAGATCGTGCAATGTTGAGCGAATTGTAGAGGACAAGCATGTGCAATAGAGAACCATGTCAGAATCTTTAAGTGATCATAGTCCTCTCTACAAGTGAACGAATGTAGTGGCATAGAATCGACTTACTTGGAAATGTCGGTGAGATAAGTGGGTGCACGTGTTAGTTAAATGAATTGAGACGATTACAAGGCAACTTGGCAACTACATCTAGCGCATACTTAGTGCAGAGTTGCATTTGGCCAATTTTACGCAGTCTACGAAGAGGGCAATTCGGGAGGAAAATGTGTCTTGCATACAGTCTTGGCCACCTCCTCACTTTTCACCTACGAAGTATGATAACAGTCTTCACTTCCAAACAATTGGCTTATCGTCCTTAGTAACTGCATGTTTGCAAGTGAAGAGAGCATTTGAGTTTTAAAAGGCACATGCTTAGCCATTACAAACCTCTTTGAAAATGTAGTCCATTATCATGACAATAGTAATGAGTTATTGGAGTGCAGATGAAAAGTTTTGACCCGACAAAAATGATTCGATTAATGTCATTTAGTTGCGTGTGTCGCATTCTACTAGGAATTCTTTATAGGGAAGTACTATCTCTATTGATCTCATTCCCATTTATCATGACGAGCAATCTTAGTTATCGATAGTACTGCAGAGGCATGTACGCGTTCCTTGGGGGTAGTAAATACATAAATGTATTAGTATGTTTTGAAGCAACGCTCTTAATATTTTTGGTACCACCTCTTTTGGCTTTTCTGTGCTGTGTCTTGAGCTCTAAACTGGTTTTTATACCAAATGACCTCCCCCTCCCCATCCACCTCCTGTTCAGATGCAGCACACAATACAAACTTTACCTCCCAAATTGACCCACTCAGTTGACATTTCATCTACTTAATAGGATCACATTAGAGGTGACAATTAAGTAGCTCTAAGGTCAAGTTGAAGTGATTCCAAGACTTCGAACAAACTAATTAAGTGTTACCAGGAGCATGAACAATATTTGGAAGTGGAGACCTTAATCAAGCATTGATTAATTCAATTCCACGACTTTTAGATTGGCACCAGATAACGTTATTAACTCCGTAAAGTAGTAATCTAATGGTTTTACTTAAATCATTTTTGATTAATTCTAGATTCAACGAATTCCTAGATTGTGTCCAAAATTTATTCCTTTATAGGCCAACTGGGAAAATACCCAAGAAGACCCAATAATAAGAACGTTTCAAGCTGAACAAGAAAATGGAGCCGCTCCTTCATCTTCACACAATTTCATTCTTCATGAAACCCTTGCTAATTGAAAATCTGTCAAGAAGAAATTTTAAAGTTTTGCTGAGATGAGGCCTTCGCCAGTCAATAGCATAAAAGAACCGTTGGATGTCTGAGCAAATTTTATAACTTCGAGAAAGTTTTACTAGACCAGTGTCTCTAGACCAGAATACCCTCTTAATTAGGGAGACGACTAAAATCACTCATCGAAATCTCAAATAAAGAAGATAGATTGGAGGAGAGGATTGAATAGAATGAATGACCTCCTTGCTGGCAATAACAAGCCAACCAAACAGACAGATAGATGGGCAGGTAGAAAGACATAAATTGAGTCAATTAGATCAACACAAGGTACGAATAAATGTCAGGAATGTGCTATCTCAGAGCCATCACACATGAATAACTAGTTTATCGGATTCCCAGAGGTGATTCAATGGACATAGTTGTTTGAACGAGACTTCGCTTCCAAGCTCTCTTAAAGTGTTTACTCATTTCTTTTACCCAAATACTTCGTCGCCGTCGTTGATTCTGAAAGTGATCTAGAGTGTCTCTAGAACAGATTACCCCCTCAGGTACATATAATGAACAAGGTTATTAAATAGATAACATTTTGAAATTATAGATTTTTTCCACTTTTCGTTAAAGGTGTATTTTGGTTTACAGACATGAATTTTAGGCAATTTTTGAAGTGCTGTAAAAAGCAATCATGACCAGACTACCCCCTTATAAAAAGTGGAAAAAATCTATAATTTCAAAATGCTATCTATTTAAGAACCTTGTTCGTTATATGTACCTGAGGGGTATGCTATAGACTTACCTCCACGTGGTGCACCCTGGGCAACGTATACTCATACGACAAAAGTCTATTAACCGACAGTTGTCTTCTGACTTCAAATTATCAATACCCCACTGTATGTCATATTCGACTATTTTCACATTACTCACCTCACCTTCTTCCCACACTTGTGTTTGCCTCTTTTACATCTTTGAAACAGTCTTCTGTTCCCCCATCCCCATCTCGACTTTGTTCTCTTTGATGTTCCTCACTCTCTGTGAAGCCTGAAGTCAATCAAAGGGCTAATGATAACTATCAAAACGTCTACCATGTGGCATAAATTTATGTACATGCTTATTTTCTTTTTTCACACCCTTGGTCGATAATTTTTCCCACCTCAAGAATCAAACCTAAATTATTCTCATTACTCCCCATCCCCCTCCCCCCCCCCCCCCCCCCAGTAATTTAATTTAAGTTAGGAAGTCCTGAATTCGGTTAGCAGTGTCCAACGAATAATTATGGTGAAAGGATGCATGATAAACCCCAGTTATTCGAAGGGTCTTACGTCATTTTGTTTCCCTTACAGCTGGCCATATTTACTATCAAGGTATTTCGCGTTACAACGTTGAAAGTTTAAGATTTGCCTTTAATATCGAGTGCTTGCGTACCGGTTTTGAATGAGGCGAGATCCCTTAAACCAACTGCGAAGATACCCAAGAAGACCCAATATAAGAACGTTTCAAGCTGAACAAGAAAATGGAACTGCTCCATCATCTTCATACAATTTCATTCTTCATGAAACCCACTGGTCAAGTTCATGAAACCTTTGCTAATTAAAAATCTGTCAAGAAAAAATGTTAAAACTTTGCTGAGATGAGGCCTTCGCCAGTCAATAGCATAAAAGAACCGTTGGATGTCTGAGTTTTACTATTTTGAGTGAGAAAGAAATGGGGTTAGGAACATCACAATTTAGATAGCGTCCCACCAACTTTTAACATTTTCTAACTCACTAAATATGTTCACTTGTGATTGGTTAATTTTAAATATCCACAAGGAAAACGAGACTCCTAAAAGGATTCAAGAACTTTTAGAAAATGAAGGTGCCTCTTGAAATTGAATCAAGATGAAAGGTAGGAAGATATATATATGTATATATATATATTGCAGTTGTAACAACACCGAGAATAGGAGCACGCTTGTGGTAACCTAACCAATTATGTGGGGTTGAATGTCCGCGTGGTAGGCGTCACTCAAATACAACCACCCACAACGCACTCACCTCACCAAACCCACCAATCACCCCACTCCCTTCTACCTCCCTACCCCATACCTACACTTACCTGTGGTGCACAACTTGCTAGTGAAGTTCACAGCCATTTGGGAAGGTACTTTGCAGCATTGCTTGTGAGCATCCAACTGAAGGAGCATGATTTCCCCAACCAATTCTTGCCACTAGAGGACTTCAAGAAACCCAACACAACCATAACAACGGGAAAGGTTTGAAGAGAAATTGTCGACCCTAACCCCACCCCAATCCACTCCCTACAATCCTATCATCCTCAATAAGTGCCAACATATTTTCAACTGGGAAGCCCTTTCGCATCCATTCTTACCGAGGAAAATTGCCCCTCGTGAGTTAGGTAGACAATGCATTCGAGATTTCGGTGACAATGCCTTGAATCAAAAATGCCAAATAATAGCAGACGAAGTGGACAGCGCAAGTGATAGGTGAGCTTGATATATGTCTTCAGTTGAAGTTTCGGTCTTTAGAAGGAAGCAGATTTGTGCACTAGTCTCACCTGCTATCACCATCTTGACTAAGTCGCGCTCACCATATGGGACCACTATTACTGTTGGTTATTTAACTTGCTCCTTGTAAATACAGTGTAGGTAGGGAGTGCCAAAGCCAGCACCAAAGATGGTAATAATGCAGAGGGTGGAGGGAGAAAACCAACGCCATCTCCGCATTCTTGTCACTCTATCAATCTCTTTCCCAGACAAGTCGTTAAATACCACCCATTTGGAAAGTCATTGAGAATAAATTTCCATACGTTTTAATTTCAATGAGTTGATGAGGAAATCGTGTGCAAAATTCAACCAACAAGAGCTCGCAGATTTGCGGTTTGGCCAAAACAACGTCAACCAATCACAGCTTAGGAAGAATTTCATTGGCTGAATTATTGCCTTTATCTATATGTGCTTTTTAATCAGACCCACAGTTTAGATCTTTAATGAATCGATACAATACGCTTTCAACAATGCAATCTGAAAGCCACATCACATACGCAACCGGATTTCCGACTTCGAATCCGATTGCTAGTTCAGAGTGGAATGTAGCGGCTTCGAGTCCTTCTGCTGCAAATGGTAAGCCATGTGATTATTTTGTTAAAGCAAATATTTCCACTCTGTGCAAGTTGTTAGAGGAGGCGGTCACCATTATAGGGTTATGCAGTGAGAAGCCATGGATAACGCAGCTTCTTCTTGCATACGCCCTTGTTACCATATCACTAATGCCTGATTTGAGATTTCCAGACTTCGGTTGTGTGCTTGTGAAGAGGTAATTTTAGTGATGGGGATAGGGCCACAACGATCACAGATTTGGTTTTCAACAATGATTTGAATCCTCCTCTTAATTAATTACAACTCTCTTTCATTTTACACAGGGCAGCGAAGGAGACGCACACCCCACAGTCGGAAGCAAATTGAAATCCTTGAAGCCAAATTTCAAGAAATCAAATATATCGAACGCCACCTTGTTGAAGAACTTAGCAAAAAAACTGGTTTAAATCCATCAAAGGTAAGACTCAAAATTTAATATTTACAATTTGATATGTAAATTGGCCAAACCGAATACCTACGTGGTTGTATAAACTGAGTTAAGAGGCAGGCCCGATGTCCACATTTTATGCTACGGCTAAAACGTGTGCCAACTTCTAGCCTATAAGGTGATGCATGAGTTGAGGAGGAAATGGGAGTAATTTCGGGTAGATTGGTGCTCTCTTTGTCCAATATTCGCACATGTTTCGAGTTCTTCAACAACTCCAATGGGTAGATCTGGATGCTATGCAAGCCTCTAGCGAACTCACGAAGTGGAGAAGTGCTCACTTTAATTGATGTGTGCAACAGTGTTACGTTCAATTGTCAGTGAAATTCATTCATATTCTGGGCTCTCAACTCCTCTCTTGATCTAACTGTGGTTGGTTTGCCAAATTTCCTGAAGATTTTGACCTAGCTTGCAGTAATTCAATTGCATGTAAGTAGGTGATGCTCTCCAAAGTGTGCGATTAGAGTTGTAATTTGGGAGAGATACGCGGTCATTGTGTGACGTGAAAGAAGTAAAATGATTCTTCAATAGTCGAATGATTTTAAAGTGTGCTGTTTGTTTGGCTCAACTCTTGTAGGTAAAGGTGTGGTTCCAAAATCGTCGAGCGAAGGAAAGGAAAAAGTGGAAAATGGGAATCAGTGGTGATCATGGTGCTCCTTCAATGCCAGAGTTCACAAATACATGTTCCGCAAATGTGTGCAGCAACAATGAAGTCAATTGGCACTATCAAACTTCAACTTATTCCTTCTATCACAATCCGACCATACATGGGCCTCTACCTCAACAACCCTTAGGAGGGAATCACATGGCAAATGAGAATGGCATTTCCGATACGACGTTCACCAGCTACCAAGAACCCTCTTCCTACCCACCACCATATACTCATTCGAACGCTAATCCAAGCGCCTGTCCATACAATTCTTATTATTCTCCAAACGACCATACTATGTACCCAAATTCGTTCCCCACCCAAAATAACCACACACCTTACTACCAACCCTATCAAGGACAAAATCTGTATTTAAACTAACTCCTATTTTGATACCTGTTATTACTAACTCTAATATGGTTTACAAGAGTGCCTTCTTTTACTTCTGTTTCATTGCAATGGTTCGACTTCGAAGCCGATGGAAATTTTGACATAAGGGAGCGACTGTGGAGCAGGGTTTCACAGTTGGAAATTTGTGGGCACTTATTGAGGAAAATAGAATTGTGAGGGGAAAAACTGACATTGAAAGGTTAAAGCCGTTGCACGCTCGTTTAAGCAATTAGATTAAATTTTCCGATCTACAATAGAACAAAATTCAACATGTGTTTCGTAAAAGAATTCACCTCGAAAGAACTTTCTTATCAGGGCTTTAGTAAGTCATTAAAATATGGCCCGATTTATTAACCCAGCATTACATAATGAGGTCATCTATTATGCTATTTACTTCGTGTGGCTATAGGGTCGGTGTTATAAATCAGCTCAGTTAGGTTGAGTAATGAGTTTCTCTTAAGAACTTGGAATTGAGGTTGAAACTAAACAATGCCTGAACTATGAAGTACTGATCTTCCATCTTTCGTTTATAATAAATTGATAAATTCACATTCTAGAGTAATTTGAAGCCTCATCGTCATTGGTGAAATCAAATCCTATTCATTAATGAAACTGTATTAACAATGTCCAAATAGCTTCACTAATGCTGTGGTTAAAATTCTTTATAATCTGACTAAATGATGGCAGGAATACAAGCGACTAATAATAAATAGGAGGATGTGGAAGTTAAAACTCTACAGTGTGGGAAAGATTTAACAAAGTCTAGACGCAAAGTCTAATCAACACATGTTGTCAACGTTCACTCCATCTTATGGGTATACATCCATAATTTGGACCTCACAGCATATAGAAATTCCTTAAGTTATCGAATATTGCGGCTGTAATAACACTGAAAACGTAATTACGCTTGTGCTAACCTAACCAATTATGTGGGATTGAATGTCCGCATAGTAGCCGCAACTCACATGCAACCGCTTCCCCCCCCCTCTCCCACCAACGCGCCAACCCCACAAAATTCACCAATCACCTCATTCCCAACCACCACATTGCGCTGCCTCCAATCACAACTGAAAGGCTGTTGACACGAGACTTAAGAGGTGCGGATTCACAATTCTTCTTATTACAGTTGTCGAATTACAGCAATAAGGAGAAAAATTGATATTTTAAAGTCGATAAACTTTTATACTTTACCTCTCTCATTAAAAAGAATGTCATTGTTCGTAACCCCTCGATTAGTAGTTGTATGGTGGTTGTTGTAATGATTGACTTCCAGTTAATGACTGGACACTCAGTCGGATTGTGATCTATTCACCGATGGTTTGGCGTCCACTTCTTGGCCCATCGAATTTCAATACAGCCAAACTAGTTCTCTTTTCTACATGTGAAATCAAGCTATGTGTGGCCACTAACTGATGTATATACAATAATCTTCTGAAATGTCCATTTCTAGCAACACACACTTCAGAGAGTGGAAGATCTGTTTGAAGTATCTATTTATGACAGAAACATTTCTCTTTAATTAAATATTGCATCCTCAATGCGAAAAGCGACAATTATTCAGGTGACTTTCATGAAGTAAAGTTTATCCTTCGGGTTATGAACGCCCATTAAAACAACCGAATATGACCTTAAGAAATCGGAATGCGAAACCGCACAATGAACTCAAAGAGCACATTGTACCTAAACTTTGCTCTCATTTCAGACGCATAGATCTATTGATTGTATTTCCTGGGACAGAAGAAAAACTGTGTTATTAAAGATTACAAGAATTGAGCCTTGTTGCTGAGAAATCTGGATCACGAGCTTCGAGTTGAAGTACCTCACTTCCAACCGGAAGATTTTCCGCATTTAATATCTCTGGACTGTGTTCATTATAAACCAATATATTGATCACTAGCTTCAAGTCAGCCATACTACTCAATAGAATATTATTTCGATCGACAACGGTAAAAGCAATCTCCAATCGATCAGTACCCGGGGTTTCAAGGTCAATGGATTTTGTCACAACCACTGCACCCGTTTCTGTTATCCTGAAGGGCACGTTAACGCTCTTTTTCGTTTCAGAGAAAAGAGAGCTGGAATTGTGAATATAAAAGCTGAGGATTGGTTAATGATATACACAGTTGAATTAACAAGAGCAACCTCGGAGACAGAGAGGTGAAGTTCTTGAGGTAGACGGATTTGAAACGCGAATTGAGGCAGGAGTGTAACTTCAAGGAAATGCCGACTGGAAGATGGAATGTGCCCTACTGTGGCGATTTCAGCATCAACCGCTTCGAGAGTTAATCCAACTTTTGAGCTCAATGAAAGTGCAGGATACTGAAACTTCAACTGAAGCTGCCATTTAGATTGCTGACCCAATCGAACTAACTCAAACAGGGCTACAGCTTCTGGTTCGAAAATTGAGTGGTGGATATTCAGAGGATTTTCCAATGATGTAACACTGACAGTCGCGTAAACAGTTCCTGGAGATCCCGGTTTTTCGATGTCTGTATGCAGGAAGGAGGAGATATGAGGACCATTCGATCGAGTCGGTTTTACTTTAACATGTACCTGAGCATGACTGACAAATTCACAGGAAACATGGCTAAGGCTTCCTCGATGCCTAGCAATTACCTTAAAAGAGTAATCTGTAAGGCCCTCGAATCTAGAGAAGTAAGTGACTTGTTCAGCAATGGTCGAACCATCACATTTGATCGTGAGACTTTTGGTGAGGAAGATATCTCTTCAGCGCGAATCAATTCGGAAGGGGACCAAAATGCGTTCTGGTTGAAGAAAACAATAGATCTGTCCATCAATACCCCGATCAGCATCAGTGGCATGAACAGTGCCAATTTTGGTGAATAAGGTCGCGTTCTCAAATGCAGTTAACTGAAATATATATTGGGAGAAGAAGGGACAGTTATCATTTCGGTCTATGAGTCTAGTGATTCGCGTTTTATTAGTGAGGGTAATTGGAGGTCAATTACTGATCTGTTCTGACTGAAATACAGCCTGAATGTCAAAGGAATATGTCGACTGCTTCTTGGAATTAAAACGGCATTGTGAGTAGTGCGCAGTCGGAGAAAATAGAATCCGCCATGCTTAAAGGTTTCCGTTGAAAACGATTCTCGACATTCAAGGTTACCGAGGATCGCAAATGATGCTGTTCCCGAAGGTCTACCGTTAAATGGTGCAGGAACACCAAACCGGGGCTCATTTGTTAAGATATAGTTATTCGGGCCGATATCAGGAAGAATACTTGTCGTATATGAGGATAAAGGAAATGAAAATGGTACATTATTTATAGAGTCATATCTATGCAAAGATTTTGAGAAACCAAGGTTAGAACCAAAGATCCGTTGCGGTGGATAATAGAGAAACAAAGTAAATAGAATCGGGAAATATTGTAAACAGTCGTGACGCATTATTCGACAGCAGATTTTGTGTGTTTATTACGTAGAATAACTTGCACATATGCATCCAAAAATGTTAACGTCTTGATATAAATTAAAATTCAGCATTCACATTCAATCTGTTAGGAATCCGCAAGTACTAACGTAAAAACGCGCGGAATGTAAGTGACCTTCAGAAGAGTAAACTGATTGGCACACAATAATGTTTTAGTTTGATTAATTTATCCCAAGGTTAGTTAAAATTAACAGCTCATTCATACTCCATACAAGTAAAACTAGATTTTCAAAAATTAATATTTTCGTGTTCACATGGCTAAAGTTAATGACAAACAGTGGTCAATATGCATTTTCCAAATATCGATCATATTGACTCGAAAGACATGTTGAATATCTCATTTTAATATGCAAATTTTCCTTTATGAAGTTGCTTTTGTTCAGACCAAATCAACTATAAACGAAATTGGGGTGTTCATAACCGTAATTTTCATAGTTAATTTATTTATCACGAAATATTGCAGTAAATAGAAGCCATTAAAATATATTAGCATGGCTCATAAAGCTGAATGAAAAGGTCTTAATGCTACTTACTTCAAATGATATAAGACCATTCTTTTAGTGATGGAATGCGTTTACTGAATTGACAAAAATACTTTCCTGATGATAATTAATGGTGCTACTTTTCACTCTATTCAAGGTGACATATCAAGTTCATAGCAAATTCCTGAACTGAACCTCGGAAGTATTACAAATATTAAGATTAAAATGAGCTTTACTTGGCAAATGTATGACATTTTAGTTTTGAGGAAGCACGGTGGCATTTACTCATTCATATTGGTTTTCATAATCGGATCAATATCCGCCATTTATTGTACTCAAATTACAAATTTAAGGAATTGAGAGAAAATAATATACTTCCACTTACTTATCTATGTTTATTTGAAAACATTCTTCTATCTATTCACAAGTTGATCATATGCAAAATTAGATATTTTGTCTTAACCCCAACAAAATGTCATATTCATTTATATTGTACTGAAAGTGAGCTTTTTAAAATTTTATGTCATACTTGTGAGTCAAACAGAAACATTTAGTTTGTCAATGACCAGATTAAGCTTTGCTTCTGTTTTATTAGTTGGAGGTGAGAAAAAAATATAAATATTGAAGCAAATCCATATTCAACATGCGATTAAACCTCAGTTTTAAAAATAATGAACTGTGTCTTGAGCTCTAAACTGGCTTTTATCCCAAATGCCCTCCCCTTCCTGTTCAAATGCAGCACGCAATACAAACTTTACCTCCCAAATAGACACAATCAATTGACATTTCATCTACTTGATTGGATCACATTAGAGGTAACAATTAAGTAGCTCTAAGGTCAAGTTGCAGTGATTCCATGACTTTGAACAAATTAATTAAGTGTTACCAGGAACATGAACAATATTTGGAAGTGGAGAACTTAATCAACCATTGATTAATTCAATTCCTCGACTTTTAGATTTGCAGCAGATTATGTTATTGACTTGGTAAAGTAGTAATCCAATGGTTTTACTATA